ACTCGTTAACTTTTCAAACCGGCAGTTATTAAAAATGAATGAAATTAGCTCATTGCCTGACAGGTCCAGAGTTCGTGTCGTCCGGATTTTGTCAGCTTTTGACTTAATTGGCGTGAATAATAGAAATGTCGTCCTCTGCTTTCATTCATAAGGCATTTGACCTCATTTGAAGAGTACTGCGTCATCTTTAGAGATTGATACTAACGATTGACTCCAATTCATTCGATTGGATTTGTGATATGAATATAATTCTAACGGATGTGGCTTGGAAGTCATGTAGTTTATCAACTTCGTTGATGAAATTTCAGCATTAATTATAGATATTTGTGATAGATATGTAATACAGAAACCACTGTATTTCTCGTTGTTATGGCAATACCTGCTCTAATCGTGGTCCGCTGTGAGCTTTGAACGTTGCGCAGCCGCTACGACCTATAGTAGCGATAGTGTTCGTAGGTTTAGGAATTTTACGAAAAGTGGATATCGGTAAATGTTAGCGATTGCACGAAAAGCGTCGAAAACATTTGAGCCCCATAATGACAATTACTTTATTTGACATCTTTCACCTGTAATCATTTTACCGATTGTTCTGATTGGTCTCATATTTTCCTCTGTGTTGTTTTCAATTTTCGACACTGATTTAAATTGTAACCGGATTTCGCTAAATATCTTGACTTAGTCATAAGATTCCATCCATTCCATTGTAGCAAAAGGAGATGCAAATCCGGAAGCAGTTCCGACAGGCGGTGAAAACGCAGACGCGCCAATACAAATTATTGCAATCGCAGCTGACTCAGCAGTTGTCGAAAGAAGAACAGCGGGACGTGCTGACGCGTTTGAAAGAGGAACAGAAGCGCAAGCTGGCGCTTTTGGCAGAACAGTACGAAAATTCGATAGGCGACATGATGGAGAAACAGACGGTAGGTGGTTTTCTTTTTTTTAAGTGTTTAAGTTCTTTCAGGATGCAGTACTTGGATTCTGTCGCATTTAGGTGAAGTTGGAAACATGGCAAGAAGAGGAAGAGCGCCAAATGAAAAACACCTTATCTCAGGAACTGGAGTTGCTAATGGCATTCCAGAGTAAACAGAGGATTCAGATGGAACAGCAGAACGAGCGCGAAAGGCTGCGTCTCGAAGAGAAGGTTTCCCTGCGATGTGCTGCGCTGGAACAGAAGGTAATAAGGAGTGTAAGGCGATGGTATGGTCTCTATAGCTGTTTGTCTCTTTTCAGATTGAAGAAGAAGAGGCTCGGTTCGAGAAGGAACGACAAGAAAGGATTAAGCAGCTGCAGAATCGACAAAAACAAGAGGCGGAATCTTTCGACGAAGAGAGTGTCAGAATGGGCTTTTCCCTTGTGGCTCTTTCGTCTCCTTTGAACGCTTCTCAAATAGACGCTTCTGACGGTGAGGACCTGTCGCTGAACAATTCATTTTCATAAGCATCGCGACAGTTCATTTTCGCCTGAACAGCGATTGGTGCTTTCAGACATTTAAATGTTTTATGCGTTTCGTGTATATTGTGCATGTGCACCAGTTCGAATTGATCCGTTATGCAGTTAAAATTTCAGGTCGCATACACGCTGATTCATATTCAGCGGACAGGTAGTCTGTTTCTGTTGTTTTACGTTTACAACGTTATTTTGCGTGTATATGGCCAAGTACAGGCGATGCGTTGCACGTGAAAATCATTGCGGTAATATTCAAAAAAACGCGCAGGTTTTACTAGCCATACTTCAGCGTCGATCACCCATTGTCTTATTCCTGCGTTTCAGCGTTTATACAAGCCAATAAATGATAAAAATAAAGTATGTGATAAAGTTACAGAGTAATTGAAATTGCAAGTTTTTACAGAAAGAAGTGTTAGAGCTGAATTGGCAAATATATTAGCAAAGACATAGAGAACCTTGATATTCAAACTTCTACATCCAAGCGCATTCGATATGATTACCGTTGCCAAGTTTTGCAGTTGCTTGGCGCGATGTGTACCAACCAATGTCAGACGAAATAGCAGTTAAAAGACAACATTGAGCAATTTAAAAACCCCATTAACTACTTATTTTCTTAATGACTATATATGAAAATCTTTTTATGTTAGATTTTACAGTAGGAAATGTGCACCGCATCTTTAAGGTTTGGACGTGAACAAAGAAGCAAATTTAGATTTTATGTAAACGTAGAATTATTGGAGTCTTTACAACTTACAATTGTTTGTTTACTGCCATGTTTTGTATATCTCCATTAGTGATAGCAGCATTAGAAAACTTAGATGTGCTGACTGACATTTTAATCCTACAAAAGTTATCAAAATTTGCTGCTAAAATGAAAACCTAAGTCATCAGTGAGTCACAGACTGGCAGACATTGACTGTTCTGGAAAACTTAACTGGGTGAAAATCTTTGCATCCTAGTTCAGACGAATTCGCATACATCTCTTCAGGAATACAAGATTGCATAGATGAAATAGGTATGCATCAGATTTACACATTTTCAGCTGCTACAGGTGCAAGGCTGGAGAGCAAGAGCTTACCTGCTTAAAGTTTATAGCAATGGTTTTCTTTCTCACGATGCAACACTGCACTTCGGTGGAAAAGGTCAACTCTCAAAGCTGCTGCATTTGAGAAACGGAGAAATGAACTCTCAAAAGGTCGGAAAGAATTATGTTCCGAAAATGAACGTCGACTATAGCCTCAGGAAATCTTGGTCTGAACTTATGGGAAGAAATATTTCAAATAAGCTTTTCGTTCAACAGTGGTACCAATTAACAGCAGTAAGTCGCATGTTCATAAGCCAGAATCGCTAGCACCAAATTTTACGGTGAGACACGTTCTTCATTAACGTTCGTACGTGGCGTGTTGCATTACATCGTTCACAATGAGTGTGAAGTTGCTGTACGGAAGCTTGATGCAACACATGGCACTGCAGGTTTTCAAATACCCTGGAACAGTGGCCTGCACCCGCTTTCCGCTAAAAAGACAACTAGGAGCAATGAAACTCCAGTATTTCATGAAATCTGGCCTCTGAGGAATTATTCGTTGTTTGACATACTAAGGCGCAGTAACAACTTAAGTTTAGACGAAGTACAAGTTCCTGAAACATCATTGGTAATAATATATATGCATATGGCATTGCAAGTGCTCAAATACCATGAAGAACCAGCTTATTCAAATGGTCCTCTACACAACTAGGGGTAAGAGAATTGCGTGATACGTTGTTAAGTCTGATACTGCAGGTGTTACGCCTCGTCTAACAAATTGCTAGCATCTAATTGGAGAAACCCAGTTATTTCCTGCCATCTTCAGATGTGTAACTTAGCTTGGAACATTTTCAGGCAAGTGCATCGATGAAACAGGTGACGACCGTTTGGTTCGGGCGGTTTGTCCTCATTGGATTACTCTGCATGCGGTTATGTAAAACCCGCTTACTCACTGAAGGCACATATTTTGAATTTTCGCTACGGTCAGGAAAATAATGCAACTGATCGAATCACGTAACAGCAATAAAACAGTTTGCAACGACTTTGGATACATCATTTAAAAAGCATTTATTTTATCCTATCCTATCCGCTTGAATTCTATCTGTAATAAAAACAAACTATGATTAAAAATACTGTTTCGTGTATACTAAAGTTATTAAAGGTTTAAATTGCACGAAGGACTGAATACATTTTGCTGAAGTAATACTCTAAAAAGGTAGAAACTCCACTAACTTTCAGAGCAAAAACTCTGAATGTACTTGTGAACGTCAATTCTCAAATTGAAGACCATCATATTCGTATAAAAAATTTGCGCTACTCCCTCAGGACTGCCCAACGTTTAGACTTCACGTGAAATATGTCCAAAGATATTAATGTTCAATCACCTACCAAGACAAGCACACAAGGAGGTTGTGTACACAGTGTTTTCGCATCGGTTTTAGACATTCGAAGTCTCACTGTGACCTGTTCAGAGGCGAAAAAAACAAGGGCATATGGATGGAATGCTTGTTCGATCAGGCGAGCCGATTACAGAAAGAATTGGCACTGTTATCGGTACAGATTACACTAGTTGATAAAAAGGTTTCCATCATGCATGATTGAAGATGAAGATGAATATGGCTGGAACGGTCAGGAACAAGAAACTAAATATCTAATAATCAAAATATTTTGTTTCACAGTTATGTATTTTAATCAAGATTTAGCTATATCATTGCTTTCTCCAGTCCATTTCTCTGGAGGAAACGTTTTTAGAGTTAAAGCGTGAATTGACGGCATTTCTTCCTTTATCGCTTCATGAATCAACCTAAAAAGCTTTGCATTCAAATCTTAATACTCTGATTAAAATATACATATTTATGATGCCACAGGCTATATTTATTAATGAATAGAATCAATCCCATACTATATAGACAGATGGGGTTTGCTTAGTCGATAGTGCGTCGAACTCGGAAATGAAAAGTCCCGGGTTCGTGCCCTGCTTAGGTCACTCGCAGTAAGTATAAAATAAAGGAGTATAACTCTGTGGAAAGGAAACAGGGAACTACCCGATGCCTGCCACACTGCTGTAGATTATGCCTTAAAAACGGCTCTCAAGGCTGATTACCCAGACGTAGGGAAGTCAGATCGCATCATAAATAGTGTGAAATGAGGGACGCCAAAAATGGGCTCCAATCATAAAAGTGATAAGTGAGATCGACATTCAAACGATAACAAACTTTATTTTTCCTTTCCTGTTTTTCCTTTCTGAGGATATCAGCATCAACGCCTGTGTCGTTGCGACCTGACATAAATTAGTAACAACAACGAAAACGAAAGGTCGGCATTAGGAGCGTTGCGCCAACGAACTATGGCACCTCTGGCTAGGATAAGTCGAATGTTCGACAGCCAGCTGCCTGCTTGGGCAAGCTGTTTTATCTACGTGATGAACGGTCTGTCTGTGGGCCGCCACTGCTTAAGCGATAGAGTGACTCCACTGCGAGTACTTTCTGTTGTAGCGAGGGCACGATGCGCATGAACCTCCGTTGTAAATGCTGCCACGTGGCAAAACAGAGCTGTTCTGCGCCTGTCGGTTGAGTCACTGACAGTGGGTAATCAAGTTAATTTGATGACCGTTATGCTGCAGATGTACTCATGTCACATAATGCTATAGAGCAACCTGTCACTCCGCAAATAAAAGGCCTGGCCGTCGCTTACATTGGCCTTCTCAACTAGCGACAAGATCTGAGTTCCATATACCAAAAGATACGAATTGCATGTCCTGTAGAGCCGCAATTTAGTACCTTGCGGGAGGCACTCAGTGACCAAACGCCCAACATAGCGTTCACAGCTGAAATGCGTAAGTCAAACGAAGAAGTACCTCAAGTGTACAACGTCCGGACGAGTTACATGAGTTCCCAAGGCAGCGGAACTGTTCCACACCTGCAATTACATAAACGCGCTTGTTCCCAAATTTATGTCTTCCTTTTCTGCACGGAAATCTCAGTCCAGTTTATTCGAGATCTTGTGAAGAAAAATACGCAGAACTGTGGAAAAGCAAAAAGCACCTTGTTGTCTGCGAAAGCCAGATCCGTGAAAGCAGCGTTGTCACAGTCAATTTCACAACAAGAGACAGCAGGAACAGCAAGCATACAACCATGTGTCACATCACGGTCAGGTAGAAAGTCCCTCCCGAGTACGACAGCTTGTAATATGTCGCTTAAATCTTCAGCAGCAGTTCTGGGACGTGCGATCCAGTGTGAAGAGAACGTCTAGCAATCAAATGAATCAAGGAGCGAGTTCAAGGCTACTTAGGCCGCGAATAGCCAACTCGGTATATCTCGAAACTAAATACTAAGATCATGCCGATTGTCAAATAGTCTGTGGTAAACGCTCTGCTCACGCTCAAACAGGGATGATTCCTTACATAGATTCGGAATACTTCTTATTTTCATATGCCTATCTGAAACACGAAATAATTAGGTGATTTGTGTTACATAGACAAACCTCCAAAAATATTCACTTTTCGCACAGTATATCATGCTGCACAATATCTTGTAGCATAGAATCGACTAAAATTACTATCCTAATCGAAGGGCGCAAAAGAGAGCTATAAATTTTCTTAGCTTATAACAGCCTAGACGTTAAACGAGGACTTTGCAATGTGTTATAAATATCATCTAACTGCAGAAGACAAGTCAAATGTTAAGTCAAAAATTAAGCACAATACCTGTGGCACTGAATCAGCGGTAGCTGGGAAAACCTGGAAGACACCACAGTGATCGTGTACTTGACACCACACTGATCCGAATTGTCTTTAATATCCTTAAATAGTTATCTGTCAGTAAAAATGTTTATACCCATTTACATCATTTAAAACAAATAATGAACACAGCATAGGAAAATATTATTAAACAGCGTCTCGCTATTCTCTCTTAATGTACACTCACGAATTTCACTTCGTAGTTTCCGATCTGTCTAGAAATAACGC